TATAGCGTCAATCTGCAAGACTTGACTGAGAACAAGCCATCCCCCTTTCCCGACCAGCTCAGAAAATCATCCACAGAACTAGAAAGCTTAAAATTGTTAATCAACATCATTAAATCAACCCACTAGTCTAATTCCCAATCACAAAAGTTTCTTCTTAGTTGAATATTCCATACCCAAACATTATTTACAAACTCACCAAACTCAGATACTTTCCCCCATTTATTAGTCGACAAAGCAAAAATTCTGGGGAATTGATTTTTTAAAGACAAATTAGTAACCCAAACATCAGTCCAGAAAGCTATCGACCTACCGTTTCCCACATGTAGCTTTGAATTAACTCTCAAACATTCTCCAATCTTATCATTTTTCGCATAGCTATTCAAGATACCTCTCCATACCCAAGAATCTAAAGGTGAAGCAGCCCTTGAAATAGAAAGAGACAGGCTACTAACGTTGTTTTTGCAGCAAATCAACTTTTTCCATTGGCTATTCTTTTCATTAGCAAATTTTCACACCCATTTACCAAGCAGGACTCTATTTATCAAACTTAGATCAAAGATTCCCAAACCTCCCTCTTCAAAAGGTTGACAAACCGATTTCCAGTTCACCCAATGAATTCGTTTCCTAGCATGATCATCTCCCCAAAGGAAGTTAGCCATCAAAGAGTTCAACTTCTGAGTCACTTTGAGTGGTATTTTGAAAATAGAAAGGTAAAAAATCGGCAAGGAGGACAACACCGATTTAACCAATACAAGTCTTCCCGCCAGCGACAATGAATTAGCTTTCCAACCTGCAAGTCTCTTGTTAAAATTCTGGATTACTGGATCCCACATACCCTCAGAATTCTTCCTTGTACCAATCGGCAAACCCAGATAAGTCATGGAAAAAGACCCCACTCCACAGCCCGCTTTCTCAGCCCACTCATTGATCGTGACAACATCCATATTAACACCAAACAAAGTGCTCTTAGACAGGTTTAAATGCAACCCTGACATTACACCGAACACCCTCAAAACTCTCCTAATATTTAAAATCTGCATTGGAGAATCTCTGCAGAAAAGAATTAAATCATCAGCAAACTGCAAATGTGTCGAATGGAAGGAATTTTCAACCCTACCAATACTAAACCCTTGAAAAAGACCTAGATCAACAACCTTGATCAGCATTAAGTTTAAGAGTTCCCCAACTAAATTGAAAAGGAGAGGGGACAAACTGCAACCTTGTCTCAACCCTTTACTAATAAGGAATTCCTCAGTAGGAGATCCATTCACTAACTTCGAAATTGAGGCTGAAGAAAAGCAACGTTCGATCCATGAGATCCATTTTCCCCCAAAACCCATAACCTTCAAAGCTCTCAATAAGATAGGCCATTCAACCGAATCATAAGCCCTACGGAAATCAACTTTGAATACAACTCCTTTTCTCCCTAATTTTCTCCAATAGTCGATGCCTTCATTTGCCAAAAGAGCACAATCAATCAATTGCCTGCCCGGGATAAATGCAAACTGCGAAGGACTTACCAAACCATTTATAACCGCAACCAGCCTCTTAGAGAGTATTTTGGAAATAATTTTATAGAGACTACCAACAAGACTAATGGGTCTGAAGTCTTCAATGTCCACTGGATTCACTTTCTTGGGAATTAGAGTAATAAAAGAGTGATTAACCCCGTTTTCCCATTTTTTACCTCTGTGAAAATCTTGAACAAATTTCATGATATGATCTTTCAATATAGGACAGAATTTTTTAAAAAAACCCATAGTATACCCATCCGGACCCGGTGCCTTGGCACTGTCCGAATGAAAGACAGCTTCCCGCACTTCCTGTTCAGAAAATCAACCTCTAAACCCTCCTGTTGCACATCAGTCAATTTAGCAAAATTCATATTAATTTCCTCCACCTCCAGAGTTGTATTTGCATTGTAATTCACTCTAAAATAATCTGCAATAGCTGCTCTAATCTGACCCGGATCAGCAATGTATTCCCCATCCACTTTCAGCGTCGAAATGGCATTCACTCTGCTCCTGTTTAAAGCACATAAGTGATAAAATCTGGTAAGAGAACTCAAGAAATTCCTTTACAAATTTTAATGTACGTTTTGCATTCTTGCGTTTGGTTTCAGTGGTTTCCTACGAAATAAACCGGTGAGTCCACTTATATGGATGAAACTGATATAAAATAAGCATTATACAAGTAACCTCTGAATCAACTGAACCTCACCGAGCTGATTGTCATACCTTTGGAAAAATTGCAACTTGGCATAGCTATCAACTATCAGCATTGTAACTTAAGAGCACTTCTAATATGCATGGTCAAATGGTTTTCCTATTCTCCTTGAAACGAACATTATTTTAATCATCTAGAATTTCTATAAAGATTATCCTCCAGAAAAGAAAAAAATTATGCGACCAGACAAAAGTTATTATTTATTAACAGCCTCAGGATAAAAAAAATTACAGAAAGGATTTTCCACAAATATAACAATTCAAAATAAATTAGTCATGCGCTATGATCTACTAACTGTTTTTTTGTTCTTCACGGAATCCACACTCTCCGATGAATATGTTTCCTTCAACCCAGTAGATTTAGTTTCTGATCCTCCTTCAATTGCTGCGAAAATAAACCACCAATGAGCAATAGAAAACCTAAAAACCATACAAGTTTAAAATTGAAACAGTAGTACAAAGGCATGCGCCTAGGCATTGGGCCTCAGCACTAGATTACAAAATCACCTCATATCCATTTGGATGAGGCAGATTTGACCAGAAGTACGTCTGATGTACTTAAACAGGCTTTTTATACAAGACATATATGAAAAGAAAAACACCTCATAGAAGTTATTTTCAATTTCTTTTATTTTTTTCTTTAATCAGGTATGACATTACTAGTAATAGTATGATAATATCGAACTCTTTGCTTCTCAATACTTTTGAGTGGCAACCAAAGACACGAAACTATAAGAAAAAGAAAATTCGCTTATAGTCTGTAGATCAACTGGACACACTGATAGACATACACACAAAAGCATACATACACAGTCTTCTTAAGAGATTTGTTTTCGGCATTTCGATTCTCATGCAATATAAGAGTTCTAACACCTAAAAATGCACTTATTCATCTGAAAGTTCAGAAAAAATTACATCTTTCTGTAGTTTGGGACTCTCCTTTAAGTTCTCTTTTCATCTCACTGAATCCTGTCGCCCCAACCTTAGCAGCCTCAGTAATGGAACTGCTGGACGCCTCATGACCGACTAATTTACCTTCAACAGAGTCCAAATAACTATAAAAAGTTTCCCCTTCAGACAATGGCAAAGGAAAAGTTGTTTGTTTCAGACCCTTTCTTGCTCCAAATTCATTGGCAACTAAACCATCCTCTTTATAATCAGGTTCAAAAAGTTTTTCCTGTTCCAAAACTGGATTTTGAGCAGCCAAAGGATCTGAAGGACTCTCAACAAAGCCATCTTGCAATGAATCCACTTCAGGAAGTTGATTTGCCTCTGGGTTTTCCATTTCCTACCCAAAAAAGGGAAAACAAATGTCATCTTAACACTTATTAAACAAAAATGAAGAAAACCCAGATCAAATAACTCCTGGGTTTTCATCATATGAAGGTTAAAGCTCAATGTGTAGTTGGCCAATATTTGAGATTCCACTTTTGAAACAAAGGGTGAAGGAAACAAATAATAGAAGAAAAGACCATGAACTCCAAAGAGATGAAATGAGAGACAGATTACCGGATATAATGATGAAGAAAGGTATGAAAAATCCTTCAAGCTTTGCGGGTTCGGATGATCTTCGCCTTTGTTCGTTCATTTATTTTTATTTTTTTGAAGTGTTGGAAGTGAAAGTAAAAGCTGGAAAATGATTCATTTGTCTCTATTTCAGTTTAGAGCAATTTCTACGAATAGTCATCAAACTATTGATTACTTTCTATTTTGATCATTTAATTTTATATTCTCTTCAATTTATGTCATTATTGTTATAAATTGTTATTTGATCACTCCCAATCCAATTATAAACAGAAATGATGAAAGGATAAAACAACATTTATAATTTTTGAGACATTTAAAATATTATAATTAAAAATATATAATTTCTAAAACATATATGATTTAAAAAAAATACATTCGATACTTCAATTTGATTTTTATGTGTAATTTGTTACTTAATCTTTTTTTATCTAATTAGGTATCTAAATTTGACTTCAAGATTCACTTTGATACTTTTTTAGCCAATTAGATATAAAACTATAATTTTAAGTTCAAATTGATACCTAACTTAACTTCATGGTTCAAATAAATTATTTATAGTGAGTATCATTTAAGATCAAATAATGAAGTTTAGATGAAGTACTTAATGCACTAAAAATATTCAGATATCAAGTAACATCTTGAAACCAAATTTATGATCATGAATTTAGTCAAATCTAATTGTTAACATCGTTATAGTTTCTAAATTGATTTTAACTTTATTATAACATTATTTTTATTCTATAATTATTAAGATATATTTTTTTATTTAAAATAGGGTAAACTAGATATGTTATTATGTCATCGATTCATTCGATTTTAATCATCAATTAAAAAATTGATTTTGATGTCTCTTCGGTTTGGTCCCTCAAACTTCCATAGTTGCGGAAAATCATACCCGCACCATCAAAATCTCATATCGCCTCGATGTCTCTTCTCATATTGAACCATCAAAATTATGTGCACTAGATGTCATTTCAACTTTTTGTCTTTCCTCTTGTTGAAAGATAAGAGATATTTATTACTCAATATTAATTTTAATTTATCGATCAGATTAAAATTTAATTTAATTAAATATTAAAATTCTTTTTAAAACTCAATTATAAATTAATTCAATTAAAAATTAATTAATAATAAACTATAACTAAATTCAGGCCTACTTAAATTTCAATCTAAATGAGAATATATATATATAACTCGATAATATCCTCGGCTAAAACAGAAAAGATCATAAAACAAATAACAAAGAGAAATAAAACAACTAGTGGACTAGGATATGATATAAAACGTTTAGATGTCATTGATTCAATAAAAAAGCCCAAGAACAGACCAGGGCTAGACATCATTGTAGTTTTATAAAACTCGAAAAAAACATTTAAAATATTAAAGAAGACTATGGACTCTGAAGATGAAACCTCTCCACCGCCTATCAAGAACCCAGTTCTGCGAACAATATCCTCGACATGACGGTGAACAATCAAAACACCCAACTAAACCATCAAAATATGTAACTAAGCATCGCATGATGCTCCTACCAACTTGAACCGATGTTTTATTGTGATAACCATGATAAACTTTCGTTGAATCGACCAAAACCCTCGAGGTTCACTTTTTCTTAACTGCAGATTTGGTCACCTTGGCTCCGGTTGGGTCTTTCTTCTCTACATTCTTTATGACACCAACAGCAACAGTCTGTCTCATGTCCCTAACGGCAAAACGTCCGAGCGGAGGGTATGTGGCGAAAGTTTCCACAACCATGGGCTTGGTTGGAACCATCTTGATCATACCAGCATCACCATTCTTCAAGAACTTGGGCTCCTTCTCAAGCTCCTTACCAGATCGCCTGTCGATCTTGGTCAGGAGTTCGGCGAACTTGACAGCAATGTGGGAGGTGTGGCAATCGAGGACAGGTGCATAACCATTTCCGATCTGCCCTGGGTGGTTCATGATGATAACTTGGGAAGTGAAGTTGGCTGCCTCCTTGGCAGGATCATCCTTGGAGTTCGAGGCAACGTATCCTCGCTTGAGATCCTTGACAGCAACATTTTTCACATTGAACCCGACATTGTCACCGGGAAGAGCCTCTTGAAGTGCTTCATGATGCATCTCAACAGACTTCACTTCAGTGGTCAATCCAGAAGGTCCGAATGTAACAACCATTCCAGGTTTGAGGACACCAGTTTCAACACGACCCACTGGGACAGTTCCAATACCACCAATCTTGTAGACATCCTGAAGTGGGAGTCGGAGGGGCTTGTCAGAGGGTCTCTTGGGCTCATTGATCTGGTCAAGAGCCTCAAGGAGGGTTGGACCCTTGTACCAATCCAGGTTGGTGGATCTATCAATCATATTGTCACCCTCAAAACCAGAGATGGGGACAAATGGAATCTTCTCAGGGTTGTAACCAACCTTCTTCAGGTAGGAAGAAACTTCCTTAATAATTTCATCATACCTTGCCTTCGAGTACTTGGGGGTTGTCGCATCCATCTGTGCAGAAATTAACAGAAACATTAGAACAAAACCAATTAAATAATAACTAAAATGGAACTCAACCCATAGAACATCGCATTTAAACAAAGGAAAAGGCAAAATTTAACCTTGTTGCAGCAGCAAATCATTTGCTTGACACCAAGAGTGAAGGCAAGGAGAGCATGCTCACGTGTCTGTCCATCCTTGGAAATACCAGCTTCAAAACCACCAGTGGTGGAGTCAATAATAAGGACAGCACAGTCAGCTTGAGATGTACCCGTAATCATGTTCTTGATAAAGTCACGATGACCAGGGGCATCAATAACAGTACAGTAGTACTTGGTTGTCTCAAACTTCCACAAGGCAATATCAATGGTGATACCACGCTCACGCTCAGCTTTCAACTTGTCAAGCACCCAGGCATACTTGAATGACCTCTTGTTCATCTCAGCAGCTTCCTTCTCAAACCTCTCAATGACACGTTTGTCAATACCTCCAAGCTTGTAGATCAAATGACCGGTGGTGGTTGACTTTCCAGAGTCAACATGGCCAATAACCACAATGTTAATGTGAGACTTCTCCTTACCCATTAAAGAGTATTAACTAGAAACTGCATAAACAAATATAAAAGAAGGTTAAAGAAGAATCATGTGCAAACAATCACCAGATAAAACAAACAAAAAAATAATCAATATTCACTTTATTTTTTATCATTGGCAAAATTGAACAAAATACAAGCACTAGCATGCAATCTAACATACAATGATTTTAATTCTATATAAAACAATTATAAATTATGTCGCCTAGCAAAAACATCAAACCTAAATAATACATTAACTCCATTCAAACAAATGATCCACATCGAAGTCTCAGATTAAAATAAAAAATAAAAACAGAATTTCTCACAAAAATGACTTAGTCACAGCAAAATCCTGGACGATTTTTTAATTAGAACACAAATCGAGATATTTTATTTTAGTTTAATTTATAATTAGGTATAATTTATTCATGCTATAAATATATCTAAAAATAAAAAATCAAAATAATTCACATAAAAATAATAAATAAATAAACAAATGATCCACATAAAACTCGCAGATTTAAAGCAAAAATAAAACAGAGTTTCTCACAGAAATGACTCGATCACAATAAAATCCTGGATACTTTTTTATTTAAAACGCAATTCGAGATATTTTACTGTACTTTAATTTATAATAATTCATGATTTAGTCATGCTATAAATATATCTAAAGATAAAAAATCAAAACAATTCACATAAAAATATCGGATCTATAATGATTTCTAATAACAAAATATCCGAATCGAAGCGCAACCAAATTGAGAAACAAATCAAAAGCATTCTCATCAAATAATCAAAGCCAACAGATAATCAAAATCATAACAAATACGGAAATAAGATCATAAACAGAAACCGACACGTTAGAATCAGATTCGAGAAATACAGAACAACAAATTGATCGTCCAAAACAAAATCGAAAACGAAATTGAGGATCTTAGAACCGAACCCTTCAAAAGAGAGAGGGAGAGATCAAATGCCGAAACAGTCGATAGAAGAGAGCATGAGAGAGAGTTTAACAGGGATTTGAGTGTGCCTCTCGTTGCTATTTATAGTCGGGTTTGTCTATTTTATGTTCCTAAAATGCCCTTTTTATATTTGTTTTGATAGATTAGTTCTCCGGTTTCTTAGTGGCGAACGGAGGAAGTGGCTCCTGTAGGACGTTTGAAAAAAAGAATTCTTCAAATAGTGTTTTTCATAATTTATTCCCTTAAATAAGGTATTTGTTAGTCTCTTGCAAAGGCTCCAAGATTTTTAAGTGTCTCTAATTTTAGAAAGTCAAATCGCATGGTAATCTATGTATTTTTAACTTTGAAAAACTTAAAATCACATAGTAATTTATGTATCTTTCATCAGAAAAAAATTGAAATCACATTGTATTTTTATTGTCATCTCGGTAACAAACACCCTAATTTAAAAAATAATTTGGTTAAAGTCCGGGAAAACTTTTTTCCAACGCATTACATGGACGAGGAAGTCGTGGAGGTTGGCTTTCATGTGCACTTGTTTTACGTTTGGTGTGATATGAACGAACGGTTGATATTGATGATGTGTTGTCACGCGCTTAACCTGAGAGTGATATTGATTTTATTTTGGTATCAAATTCGGATCGTAACCAGATTAGATGATCCGAATGACGTGGGTAAATAGAAAAGTTATATGACACATAGGCAAGAGATGTGTTTTTTGACAAAGCAACTTAGCAATACTTGGTGACAAAGCAACTTAGCAATACTTGGGGACAGAGAAAAGGGAGATTTCGAGAACAATTGGAAATTATATTTTGGTTTAATTGTTTTATTTTTTGATTTTATTATTTAAATATATATTTTTATTTACTATTAAAACAGTATCTTTTTATATTACTTAAGGTGAATATGCATTTTTTTTTAAAAACGTGCCTTACATTATATGTCTTCTCCTATATGACATAATCAATAAGGGAAAAAAGCATTAAAAATTAAAGGTTAAAAGAAAAAAAACAAATTTATTATAATATATTTTTTTTAAAAGTTCAAGGATGAAAATGTCATTATACTTTTCATTTGTGATTTATAAAAAAGAAGAAAAGAGATTGAATTGTGATGGTACTTGAATTGTTATTAGATAAAGATTCAATTTAACTTAGATTTTGAATAACTTTGTTTAAATTATCTCAAATTATTTAAAAAAATAAATCTAAATAATTTTGAATTTTTATTGAGATGTTTATTTTATATTTTGATTTTTATTATTTTAAAAATTTAAAATTCAAAATTGATATTTAACGATAACGTGATAAAATTTAGAGGGAAAAAACATATTGATACGACTAAAAATGGATAATTCACAACAATTATTTGATAACTTTATTAAATTTCATACTAAATTTAAATTATCATTGATTTTATATATTATTATTAATTAACTGATTTCTCCAATCAAAAAAATATAAAATATAGATAATCAAATAGTATAATTTTATTTTATAGTAATATAGTTATAATCATATATTTTTATTTTTACTTGATACTATTTTCTAATATTGTACAACTATGAAAAGTATAATTTGATTTTTTTTCTATTTTAAACATTTTATATAAACTAGAATATTTCTCACCTCGCCAAGGATTTAATGAGAATTAATTTATGTCAATTAAAAATATTTATTTAGATAAATTTAATAATAAATCATTTATATTACCTATTTCTCATTAAATATGCGTTAGGGGATACATATACTCTAAAATGAATGATTATTGATATTAATCGATAATATAAATTAATTTATAGAGACAAACATCATTTTTAATTATCACTAAAAATATATTCTATCCTATCAATATTAAAATTTGAATATATAAAATACATTTTTTTAAATCTATATATTTTTTAATTAATCACTAGTATCCGATCTATTGACCGATTAATCCAAATTCGATTACTGTAGAGGCGAGGGCGATCCTCCCAACCCAGTTAAATATATATCTTTAAATATTATAAAAATATAAATTTTAATATTATACAATTATTTTAATTATGAATTAATTATTTTAAAAAATTAGAATATTCTACAGTTGCATATTTAAACTATATTTATATAAAATAAGAAAATTTGTTAAATAATAAAATTTGCATGTGTGTGTATACACGTGCAACACGCGTTAAAGAAAACTAGTGATTTTAAACAATAAAATAAAGGGTAAACTACGCCAATGGTCACTAATGTATGGGTAAATATTTGTTTCCACCAATAATGTTTGAAAAGTCATAAATCGATCACTAACGTTATTATTTGATACAAAATTATCACTGACGTTATCGTATGTTACAAAATGATCACTCGATGTTAACAGTCGTTAACAAATTGTTACTGTAGTAATGGAATGTTAACGTGGCATGTTAAACCAACTGACTCAGTATATTTGACCGATTGTTTGACCTTCTTCTTATTCTTCTTCTTCCATTAACTACTGTCCGTGAAATCAAGCCCCAGAGCAGAAGAATTATGGTAATTTCACATTCTTAAAAAAATCCATTTTCCTCGTTGGAATGGTGTTTAATGGCTTTGATTTTCTTTTGATAAGGAGTCGATGGTCCGTACAAAGAAGACAACAAGTGGTCGACATGGTTGAAACCTTTGTTGAGAGAACAATTATTTGTTCAATGCAAGCACCGTGTTGATTTTCACATGAGTGAGAACAATGTCTGCTTAGATTGCATGATCCGAGAAACAGAAGTATCTAGACATATATGGAGTTCAAACGTATATTATCAACAGTGCCAATATCGTCTTCTTGAACGAGAGGCCACAACCAAGGCTCAAAAAAGGCGTGACCAAATCGTGCGAGGTCTGTGATCGTAGCCTCGTGGACTCCTTTCGGTTATATTCTCTCAGTTACAAGGTACAATTCCCTTGTTTATGATTTTCTCGGGTTCTGTTTGGTAGCCAAGTAAATGAATATCATAATTTGAACTAATTTTTTGGTTAATTATGTATGACTGCAAATTGTTGGAACATCAAAGAGTTTTCGAAAGAAGAAGAGGCAGTTGCATATGAGCATGGCATTAGACTCTGAGAATTCATACAACAGCAGTTGCACATGGGCATGACATTAGATTATTAGCCCTAGTTCAGTTAGTATTACAAATTTGTAATACTATGTTAATATCAGATTTTTCAGAAAAAATCCAACATTAACACACTATATATACTATTGTGTACATTACATGACATATGTATAGGAGCAACAAAACATAGAAGTGAAAAAATGATAATGATAATGTAACATCCGCAATACCGGGTTAGTGACCAAATTGTAAAGTTTCAGAATTTAGTGACTAAAGTATAAGAATGAAATAGTTCAATGATTATTGGATATATAAGATGAAGGTTATTTAGTAATTAGTAAAGGAAATAAAGGGCAAAAGGGTCAATTAACCAAGAAATGAATAAAAATGGGATTGGTAAGGATAAAGGCACATGGAAAGGGAGAGAATTCTCCAGAGTTATCTTTTCCTTTCTTCTTCTTCTTCTTCACGGGGAAGCCAAGAGCCAAAGGTAAGTTTCTTTGTTTATAATTGAATTGTTGATTTTAAGGTTGGGTTTTAATTATTAGATATACTAAGCTTAGAGTTATCTTTTCCTTTCTCTTCTTCTTCTTCACGGGGAAGCCAAGAGCCAAAGGTAAGTTTCTTTGTTTATAATTGAATTGTTGATTTTAAGGTTGGGTTTTAATTATTAGATGATAACTAAGCTTAAGGAAAGCTTAAATCATCTTTAAAGCAAAGGATGGTGGAGTTAGGAGAGATTAAAGATTTAGAGTTTACAAATGAAATCTTGGAATAAAGTTCATTTCTTAGATTGGAAGTTAAATTTGACTTGTCAATGGTTAAATTAAGAGATTTGGAGTGATAGAATTGGATTTAGATCATATAGAAAATTTGGTATGATTCTTGAATCTCATAAAGAAGATAGGATTTTGAGGATAAAGATGATTTACATGGATATAAGTTGGTTCAAGTTATAGTAGTTGAGTTTAATGTCAAAATAGGGGCTTAAAATAGAAGAATTAAGGGAAGAGTTGATGATTTACGTGTTAAAATGCCAGTTCTGGGCAATGTGCATCGATGCACATTCATTGTGCACCGATGCATCGATGATAAATACCAGAAATTGTTTAAGGTGCATCGATGCACATGCAGTGCATCGATGCATGATTTTAAATAGAAAACATCGAATAGGATTTATGCATCGATGCTAAGTAGTGCATCGATGCATCCCCATTAAAAAAACATCGAATGCATTTTATGCACCGGTGCACAAGTAGTGCATCGATGCATACATTCATTGAAAGAGGAAATGGGCTTTTCTCTTAGCCTAAGAAGTGACAGTTTTAGAATATATCAATTGGAATATTGATATGAATCTGTGTATTGTTATGTAGAGATAGAAAGTGATCGTTTCGGGATAATTGAGGAATTAGAATCGAATCAAAGCAAAGCTAAGGTGAGTGCAATTTATTTTGTACTTATTTTATTGAATTAACATTGGCTTGTGATGAGCCAGTGATGGAGTTACTATGGTAAGAAGTAACTTCTAATTGTTATGTGATTACCATGTATGCATTAATACATAGAAATAGATGCTATGTTATATGATTTATATGCTTAAGTGAAAATGCAACATATGATATATGTTATTTGACATGACATGCATGGTTACATGAAAGAAAGCTATGTGACTACATATATATGTGAAAGAAGCTATAAGCTTATATGCACATGTGATATACGTGATATGAATTACATGAAATGATTTACATGAATACATGTATATATAATACATGTGATATATGAGATATATGGTTACACATACATGTGATATGTACAGAAGAGAAAGCAAGTGATACGAAATGTATAAATAAATGCCCATAGTATATGATACGAGAGCTATAGGTATAGTTGGCATGCCAAGAGTCGAGGGTTTTACCTATGTCTTTCGAGACATATGGACAGTATACCTATGTTCTAAGGAACATATGGACAGTTACCTAGGTTCTTTGGGACCTATGGACAGTTGCCGAGGTTCTTTATGACCTCTGGATAGTTACCGGGTCTGTGTGACCTCTGGATAGGTCCCTTCGGGATTATACGAGCTGTGGTGACAGCATTAGTGCATAACCTCAATGTACTCACATACCTCTATTCTCAATAATATACATGGGCAATGAAATTGACAAACAAATGAAAGTGAAAGTGATAAAAGAAGGTAAGTTGCATGTGTGCATGACCTGATTGTATATTGTTATCATACCATAGATTCATGCATATTGATATGTAGTGACTCAATGATATGAATGCACATACATGAATTATATGTGTTATATGATGAGTATATGGTAAGTGGAAAGGATTATTGATAGTGTTTGTATATGTATGTCTTTTATTTATATGAAATGATATATGGTTATATTATATGTTTTGTATGCCTCACTAAGTCTATGACTTAGCGTGTAAGTAATTTACACGTAGGTACCAAGAACGAGAAGTGAAAGAATAGAAGTGGCAAAGACAGTATCATTACTAAAAGATCAGATCAGAAGTATTTGACAAAGTATGTATTTGGTTATGTATAAAGTGTTGGCATGTAATAAGTCATTAAGTACGAGCACTCTGATCAAGTCTGTATTTTGTTTTAAATAAAGTTTTAAATTTCCCGGGATTTTTCTTAAGAGTCAAGATTTGAAAAGTCAATGTGACACGTCGGACTCGTATCCGGGTCGGGTACGGGTTGGGGGTGTTACAGATAAGCTACTTGGAATGCTTAGTTTTTAAAGATACATTAGGTTTATACTTCTGGTTTTAGGGCAAGATTAGGAGTAGTTGAAACATGAAAAAAATAAGAAGACAACAGGTGGCCACCATGGTTTTGTCTTTACTTTTGATGTTATCTTTTTGTCGTTGTGTGTGTGTGTGTGTGTGTTTTTTTTTTTGCATGGTTTTGTCTGAAATGGTTATGGGTGGTTAAAGGGGACGAGGAGGAGGAGGAAGAAGAAGAAGAAGAAGAAGAAGAAGAGTCAAATAATTATATAACCAAAATAGAACAAAAGCGATAATTGGAATACTAAATATGTAGTTTACTCTATAAATATTAGGGGTAAAGCAACTTTAGTTCCATAAAAATATGTCTCCAAATTCATGGACTAATATGGATGAAAACAAAATTTAAGGATTAAATTGGTAGACATTGTTAAACTCGGTGAGTAAAATTGTTTTATAGCAAAGTCTTAAGCCTGAAAGCCGTCAGCCGCCCATCATAATAAAACCAAACAGAATGTAAATTCTCATTTTTATCCATCATCGTATCGAAATCTGACGGTCTAAATTCACTAGGAGGGGAAGAATTTAATTAAACGGCAGAGAGAAAAACCCTAATATAGGATATATAAAATATTATAATTGATTATTAAATATTATATTTAGTTTAGTCGTTAGTGGTTAAGGCATGGACAATTTATTAAAATAATATTTTTTACTTAATTTTTTTATTTTTTATTCAAATAATATTAAAAAATATTGGATTTTCAAAATGGCACCCAGTGGTGATGTATATATTTAATTAAAATTGATTTTAAATAATTTTTAAAAAAACTTGAGAGGATTAATGATATTTTTTAAAAATTATGGTAGTGGTTTAATTAAAAACATTCAAATATTTTAAAGTTTAATATGAATTTTTAAAAATTTTGTAAGGACTTACCTATTTTTAATACTTTTTTTCAAATTTTTGAGAGGCAAGACCCCAACATATTCCCGTTATGTTCCGACACTGATGACACCCATATCATATAAAAGAAAAACGTGTACTCATAAAAACATCTCATCAAAAATTATTTCTCATGACAACGGCTTTTCCTACATAAGAAGCCATCAAGACTTTTATTTTTGTTTCCTTTTTTTCTTCTTTTAATTTTAATAAGATATATATCAAATGTATCAACTCACTAACAAATATAAGGATTTACTTAGTGATAGAGGTGTGTCTATTCTACTCATAAATTCTATATTCAATATCCGACGCCATTTCTTATTTAATTTTTTTATTTTGCAATCAAAAGTAGCACAGGTCACTAATTGATTAGAAAAATAAATTTATTAAATAAAATTTTAAAATAAATTAATTTAATATATAAGTAATAATGATCATATGTATAAATATATAATTTTTTTAACTATCACGTCAAATATTAAAAACATATAGCTTGACAACACTTAAATACTTAAATGGTATGATTAAAAAAATCGAAATATCAGTGATCAAAATATAATCCCCATAACTAAGTGTGGTTATAGGTGTAGTTTCCCCTAAATATTATTTTTATTTGATAATTTTCTCCAAAATTAATAAAATAAAGGATTAATTAAGAAAATGTTCAAATTATATTTTTTTGTTTACGCGTCTAACGTTTTTTTAATCAATGTTGGTTTTCAATATTTTTGTCGTTATTATTTTAAGTGTATGAAATTCTCATAAACTACTTAAGATGTTATACGTAAAGTGACTTAAAAAAACGTAAAATTCATACAATGTAAAATTGTTATTATTATTCTAAAAGCTCTAAAATATTTCTAAAATTTGAAAACACTCTAAACATATAAAATTCATAATCTCTAAATAGCGATATAATCCTTCAGTTTTTGTTTTTAATTTAATAAAGACCCCTAAAATTGATTCACTTACACATGTTGCCACTTCAAGAGGCACTCAGAAGAATCCATTTTAAAGCCATAATTTTTCTCTTGTTCGTTGGGTAATGAAATATTTTTTTCCCATAAAATAGACCCAAAAAAAAACTAATACCCATTCGGTTCTTTTGTCCGTACAGATAAGGCAGATTCGCTTTAGGAAGCAGCATAAGTTTCTCCATCGGATCCTCCTCCCCCAAGTAAAATCTCCTTTTAGTTCATTTAGTGCAAATTTTCTCTGGGTTTTATTTTGATTTGTAATGTTTCTTTTGTGTTGTATACTTGTAGATGTGTTTCTATATTGGTGGAATCTTTTTAATTGGTGTGGAGAATTTGTTGAACCTTAAGGAGAAGTGAACGTTTCGAGTTTACATTACAAGAAAGTGAGTTTTTTTTTTCTGTCGTTTATTGAAATGGGATCCATTTTCGATTTGTTTTAAGTGGTAAAAGAAGTTATTTTCACCCTTTGAATTAGCTGAAGATTGGGTTTTTCAAATTGTCTTTTGATTTTTATTATTATTTTGGTAGGTTGAATATGGTTTTTTGTTGAACTTCGATAGAGAAGGAGAGAGATAAGGGGAATTTGTTCTAAAGAGTGAGGAGTCTTTGAGGTGGTGGAACTAGGAGTAATGGTGTCTAAGAATGATCCAATTGAGTCAATTTCAAATTCGATTCACTTTATAAAAGAAACATTTTTACCTCTTGAATTGGGCATTAAGAAAGCTGCAAAAGATCTCCAGAGTTGTTGGGGAGCTTCACATGTCAAAGGCGATAATGTTGAATTGACTGCTCATTTGAATGGTAGTGATAGGAATGATAAGGTTCAAATTTTTTGTGTGAAGAAGAGTAGAGGTGTTAGTAATGGGATGTGTTGTGTTGGTTGTGAAGAAAGAAAGAAAAGGCGGTGTATTAAGGTTCCCATCAAGGTTTTGATGGGATTGTTTTCGCCTGCAAATGGGCAGAACAAAGAGAAAGTCGGTTTGGATAGAAAAGGATTGAAAGAGACAAATATGGATGGAGATGAAAGGTCTTGTATGAACTGCTTGCAGTTTGCAGTGACTTGGTCAGTGTTGATTAACAGTTTTTCCCTGGCTTTACCAAGCTCATTTAAGTCAGGGAGGAAGCGAAATCAGAAAGTGGGTGACAGAGATAATATGCAATCAAAGATTTTATTCGAGTATAGAGAGTCAAAAACTCATTTTGTTGTAAAGAATGAGGGTTTGGAACATAATGATGGGAAAAATATATCAATTGAATGCTTTGTAGGGTTCATATTTGACCAGTTGATTCAAAATCTTCAGAAGTTTGATCCACTTCTACAGGAAAGTAATAAGAAGCATTGTGATAGTCCACTGACTTCATCTCCACCATCACAGTTCAATCTTTTAAAAGCGGTGACAAGTATTTGGGAAAATCAAAAGGTTGATGTAAATGGATTTTTGGGAAATTTGAAGTTTGCTAGAGTGGGAGGTGTTCCTCAGGGTATGATAGGAGTTGCTTCTTCAGTGAATGAAGAGGGTGATGATGATGGTGTTACCGGCAGCACGGAAAAAAGAGGTAGAAATTCCCCTCAGAAATTGGCGAGTGAAATCCTGAGCATTCCTCTATCAAATGTGGAGCGACTGAGATCCACCTTATCCACTGTCTCACTCGCAGAACTAATTGAGCTTCTTCCACCTTTGGGTCGCTCTTTGCAAGACCATCCTGACAAGAAGAAGTTATTCTCTGTCCAGGATTTCTTCAGATACACAGAATCTGAAGGTAAGGTTTCTTGGGCAGCTCACCAAACGATTAGTGTTGCATCATATATATGTGTATATATATTTTCTGTTTGGTGCCTTGAATTGCAGAATCAGTTTTAGACTATTAGTAGCATAATTCAAATTATAGTTTTCTTAAACTCTATATTTTGTGGATCTTCATGCTGAAAGTGCAGGAATTGGGTAATTTTGGATTCTGTTTCTGTTATATCATTTGTGCAATCCTACTTGCACTTGGAGGTTCTGTTTGTAAGTTATTAGATTAGCATAAGTAATCTGCCTTTGTGTTTTGCCGTGCCGTTGCTACTATTATCTATTACTCATTAATACCCTTATCAAACCTTTTATGCTAAATAAGTTCACAACTTCATATAATTTGAGTTTTCATAGCATTAATTTCAGGTTGGGTAATTCATTATGGTCAAATGTGACTAACTACAGTGTAATATATCACTCATGTCCGATATGCTCTGATTTTTACTGATGCATTTTTATTTCAGGAAGGAGGTTCTTTGAAGAACTAGATAGAGATGGTGATGGCCAAGTAAATTTAGAAGATCTTGAAGTTGCTATGAAGAAAAGAAAATTGCCTCAGAAATATGCTCGGGAATTCATGTGCCGCACTAGAAGAAACCTCTTTTCAAAATCTTTTGGTTGGAAGCAGTTTTTGTCCTTGATGGAACAGAAGGAGCCAACCATTCTCAGAGCTTATACTTCTCTCTGGTTGAGCAAGTCTGGAACCCTCCAAAAAAGTGAAATATTGGCATCACTTAAAAATGTTGGACTTCCTGCAAATGAAGACAATGCTGTTGCTATGATGAGATTTTTGAATGCAGACACCGAAGAATCTATTTCCTATGGACACTTCCGCAATTTTATGCTTCTGTTGCCTTCAGACCGGCTTCTTCAAGATGATCCACGGTGAGCTTATGTTTTCCATTTGAAGAGTCTTACCCTGAAATTCTGGCTGAAGCACAAGCTCCAATTTAGTTCTCTAATGACTTATCTTGGTTCAGGCTAGACGTCCAAATTTTAGTTTTGCATTTTGGTCTCTGAATTATAGTATGTAGGCACAGTTTGTGGAATTGTATATTTACTGCAGTAGTGCTCTGTGCTTCATCGGTTTGGATACCTTCTGAGAAAAGTTGTTATTTCTAATTGATCAATTATTAGAATTTGTATAGAACTTTAGTGCAGGGTCATCAACTTTTTTGTAGCAGCTTACCTACCCCCTTTCTATTAGCGAACATATGTATAATTTTTTGCACATGCACTGATTTTGAACAAATTATTGGTGATTAACTGTTGACAGTAAATTCCTTCTGTATTTCATACAGAAATATCTGGTTTGAGGCTGCCACGGTTGTTGCTGTTGCACCACCTGTGGAAATACCTGCTGGAAGTGTTCTTAAATCTGCACTGGCAGGGGGTCTTTCATGTGCACTCTCAACATCTTTACTGCACCCAGTTGATACTATAAAGGCACATTCTTCAGCTTAATGCTGTTTTTACATAATAAATTCTGCTTGTTTTTGAAAACCTTGTAGAATCCATTTCTGTGAGTACAGTCTGCAGCCTCCCATGTTAGAATTTACTGTCACTGAACTGTAGAGTACTCACATGTGAGATGATATTCTTTAGGCTGCATACGGTGAAAAGCAGTTTCTTATTGAGATTTATGATATACTGGCTGCAAATGGCTTTTGTTAAAAAAATTTGGGTTTAGAAACATTCAAATGTTGCTAGACACGTGCATTATAGTGTGGGTTTTCCTTCTAGGAAGCCTTATACAAGTATCCCTGAATTTTGATACTGTTTTCCAATAGCAGAGTTTTCTTTTGCGATAAATGGTTGGGACTTTGGGTAATTTTGCATGTTATGGAGCATTTCAACTTATTAGGCATAACTGGTTATATGTGTCTTCTAGTCGCTGCTCCTGTCAGATCTTGTAGATCAATATTTGTCCTCAGGATTTTGTCTCCACCCCTTGGTGGAGGCACCTTTTTGGTAGTTCAAATTCTTTTTAGTCTCTCAACACTAAAGGTTTAAAGCACTTAAGTTTTAAAGGAAGTTGTAAGAATGTTTGTGCTTATACATGCATGTATTCTTGCAGGTTTTCTTACTGAAACTGTTGACTTTTCTGCTCGTCCCTTATCTTTTTATGGAATGCTTCTTGTGATATGTCAATAGGGTTTTCTCATGATTATTTGTTTCGCCTCTTTTCTATTTCTCTGTTTCATCAGACTCGAGTGCAAGCATCAACTCTGACCTTCCCAGAAATCATATCAAAGCTTCCACAAATTGGAGTTAGGGGGCTATATAGGGGTTCAATCCCTGCCATTATTGGCCAGTTTTCAAGGTTTTACATATTTTTTGTTGTTTACCTTTCTTTGTTCTCTGGTTTGGTTTTGCTTTCCATCATTTTTGGGTGTGATTGATTTTCTTTCAACATTGCAGCCATGGTCTTCGAACAGGAATATTTGAAGCAAGTAAACTTGTATTGGTCAATGTTGCTCCAGACCTCCCTGACATCCAGGTACATTTTGCTGCACTATTTTTATTTTGTGAAATTTTCTATTGAATTTCTCTTGTTTCTTTGTAACATAGCTTTCCTTAATTTTCCTTTCCATGGGGAATATCCTAAGTCTCTTATGTTGTTTTACAAGCTCCTTCCATGTGGTTATTTGTCATTATGACCAGTTTACTAGATTTCCCTGATTTTATGGGGAATTCTAAAAAAGGGAGGTTAATTTGAGGTCAAAAAATGTTAACCAAAATATGCATAAAATGTTACCAAGATACATTAATTGTTACAACAGTAACATTTTGAGTATATATCCAAAATGGTATCAATTTTGTGTATATACATAAATTGTTACAAACTTTGTTACATTTTTAGTATACCTTTTTCAATTTTCTCAACAACTGGATTAAATTGAAGAATCAGAATAGATTCCAAGCGAGGCAAACCAAAAAGGGCTAAGATACCACTCAAGAAAAGATTGCCTAAGGTTTTGGAGCATTTTGAGAGTTATTTGACTTGAGTTATGAGAGTACGAATGCTTTTTTCTTCTGTTCCCCCAAGAGAAGACGGGTTAAATTGTCTAATTGATTTGATGGTTTATGGATCTTGTAACATTTTGAGTATATACCGAAAATTAACAACATTTTGGGTCAATAATCAAAATGTTATAATGTTGTTACAATTTATGTGTCTTAGATAACGATTTGTGTAGGTTTTGGTAACATTTTTAATAGCCTACTGTTTTTTACCTTAAATTAACCTTCCTCACCCTAGAACTGCCCCTGATTTCATTGATGTTGCTAGAATTGTCATGTAAACTAAGTAAAAGTAGAAAAGTTATGCATTGAACAGGCTACCTTAAGATATTTAGCCGGTTTCCTACAATCATGCATGGTGCATGCTAAAAGCACACCCCATGCTTGAATATTAATAATTACAGAACTTTAACCAACTATCCTTGAATGGTTTGTGTTACGGTCTCGCGTTAGGGATCTAGTCACTGATCAATACGTAGGAAAACTGTCTAACTTAGAGAGGCTTTTTCCCTGATTTCTATTTCTTCCTCTCAAATTGCCTAGGATAAACAAGTGATACTCGTCAAAGGGAATTCTAGACCTGAGACTCGTTAGAGAGAATCTTAAATCTCGTACAATTAAAAAATAAATTCTTATCTAATTTTATTGCTGCCAATCAACCTATCTTCCGAAGATAGTATTAGTATTTTCTTTTTCCTAAACGTAATTAATGCTAACGTATTATTACTCTTCTCTCTAAAGAAGAGTTCGTTTGCGAGTTCGGGATTGCATAGTCTATGCATCTGTTCGCACTGTTGTTACATGCAAGGAAATTTTACTCTGTCCCTCTCCAGATCCAACTCTGGGTCATCTTCATCTACTACCTCTAACCAGAATAATCGTTTGCACTAATGTCCTACTAAGTAGGGCTAGTTACAGTTGTAGCAAAGACCCTTAGACCTCCGCTCTACCATCTTTGAGCATCTCAATTATTTGAAGACAGGAGGGCTTGTCTTACTATCATCGGAACCCCTCGCTGATGCCAAGCTTCCATCTGAGCTGGCTTTTGATGCGACTATGGGTGTTTTCGTGGAGGTGATCCTTCTTGTTCCATCTGGTAGTACAGTAGTCGTGCTTCTCCTATCATGTGAAAAGTCCTGAAACCCAGTTTGTCTACCTCAGCTGTTCTCTGGTTTGAATTTTTTTTTCCGCACTTGTGTGGTCAAATCAAAGGATCTTCGGGTACCATCAAAAATCGGGAAATCTAGCTTTGTATATTGTAGTACAACGCCGGATCCACCTATCGTTTCAGTCATGTTCTCCTGCCTAGTTGGTTGACTACTCGTTTGGTTGGCACTGTCTTTTATGCTGTCAATCCCTTTTCCTCTTTCACAGTTTTGGTTGGAAGCCATCAGTTCTAGTATTTGCAACGGCAATTGATGCACCGTATGGCTTAACGGGTTGTTACGTTCAGTCATCCTGGTCTCTACTCCTCTGTTTGCAGAATCACCCATTGTGCCAAGCTCTGAAGCCAAGTTGTTACGGTCCCATGTTACGGAAAACTGTTTTAACTTAGCAGGGGACTCTTTCCCTGATTTCTACTTCTTCCTTGCAAATGATCTATGATGAACAGGTGGAACTTGTCGAATGAAATTTAGACCTTGGACTTTTTTTTTTTATAGGAATTGAAGGCCTCGTTAAAAATCTCCTCCTTAATTTAGACCTTAGACTTGTTACATAGGTTTTCTTGTTTGAATAAACGATTAAGTCAAATAAAACAATTACTCTAAATAAAGATAGACTCCTATAACCGTAAGGACACTTTGAAAGAAATTCTCCTAATAATAAACCGATATCTTCCTAAAAGTTGTGATGCTTGTGCTGTAGTTGCTCCTCTTGTTTTTGCTATTGCTTTTTCCTTCTATGAGAGTGGATTTATATTCTGTACATGGAGAAGAAGCTGGTCTTCCACAATGTTACGATTAGGGAAAGGGATGACTCTAATTATAGTCATTTGCATGCATTGTAGGTTCAATCCATGGCATCATTCTGCAGCACAGTTCTGGGAACGGCTGTGCGGATTCCTTGTGAGGTACTAAAACAGCGTTTGCAGGCTGGCCTATTTGACAATGTTGGAGAAGCTCTTGTTGGTACGTGGCACCAGGATGGTCTAAAGGGCTTTTTCCGTGGGACTGGGGCCACTCTTTGCCGCGAGGTTCCATTCTACGTCGCAGGGATGGGGCTTTATGCTGAATCTAAAAAGGTATTGGTGTTTTTCATGACGACGATTATTTTTTATTTCTCCCCTCTGAGTAATTTAATGCCTGCCAAGACTCCGTACTTGTTTTGATCATTAGTTTTCTAAGAACTATTTCGGTTCTGCGTGCTTCTTTAGCTTGCGCAACAACTTCTAAGACGGGAACTAGAACCTTGGGAAACAATTGCAGTTGGAGCTCTATCTGGAGGGTTAGCAGCCGTTGTCACTACTCCTTTTGATGTCATGAAAACTAGAACGATGACTGCTCCGGGAGGCCAACCAATATCAATGTCGATAATAGCCATTTCTATACTCCGAGACGAGGGACCCCTTGGTCTATTTAAAGGAGCAGTACCCCGGTTTTTTTGGATTGCTCCCTTAGGTGCCATGAACTTCGCTGGTTACGAGTTGGCAAAGAAAGCCATGGACAAAAATTAAGACGCGGCTATGAATCAGCTCGCCGGGACGAATTCCGGGTAGGTGCAATACCTTCCAAAGTAAGAACATATGATCCACAATGGCTTCTGGGATTTTCTTTTTTGATCGAAGCAACTGAATGCTGCTGGAAATTTTGTGCTTTTCTGCCCAAAACTAATGGAAACAAGCTGTTTAAATTTAATTTGTCGAAAGCTCCACCCATTTTCCTTGCCAAAAGTTGTAATATCTTTTGCAGTTTATACCAATCTTTGTAACTTCTGACTTTTTCATTTGAGGTTATATTTGATATGATCCTAATCCATCATCCCTTCATACCAAAGTGCGATTAAGTGCATACGAACTCATATTCTCGTGTATGTTCTAATAGCAATAACATTAGTCGAATTAAGATTCAATCGAGTAAGATGGGATATACATGATATGAATGAGTGTTAGTATGTGGGTATATATTTTTAAGGGCAAATTACATAAATTATCACTGTACTTTCTTCTCTTCTATATTTTGATCACTAAACTTAAAAACTTTTCAATTTACTCATTGAACTGTAAACATTGAATTTTTTTTATCACTCTACCGTTTTTCTTTTAACTGTGTGATGAAATGACATTTTTTGTTAATTCTTAACTGTCACATAGGCATTAATTAATATTTTATTTAAAGTATTGATTGAATTGCAATAATTGATGTTAATATCATTCAAATATTTTAAAAGTTTTGGATATTTTGAAAATGAAATTGTATACAGAATTATAAAACTATAAAATATTTTATATTTTAAAAAATGATCATAATTTTTTTATGTTTCGTATTTTAAAGGTATTATAAAAATGATAAATAGAATTTTAATTATAATTGATGAATTAAATAAGATATTAACGATTGAATTTTAGTACCAACTAAGTAGGACATAAATCAGGTTAAAATCAAGACTTAAGTTTCTTATTAACAATTGTTTTCTCTGTCTTGAGTTCGAGTTTTTGTATATGCAGAAAATCATTTTTGGAAAATTCACCCATCAAAACAGACCGTTTGATCTGCCCAAATTAATCTGAACAAAACCTTGAAAATTTGAAAGGACAACAAAAAAACAATCAAACAAAAATTCTCTCTATTTAAACTTGCTCATAAACAGAAAACCCTACCTTAACCACCAAGTCATGTAAATTATTACTAAAATCTACTTATATCATATAAAGTTATATGACATATTTATTCATTTTCCAATTGTATTTTTTAAGATAAGGAGGAACATAAGGTTTTGCGTTAGCGGTGCTACATTTTAAAATGTTTTATTAAAATTTCAAGAGGGTGAAATTATATCATCAATAGAAAATATAAAAATACCTAAATTATATAAAATTTTTAATATTCTAATTGTACGATGGTTTGTTTCCCAACATATCCTTCATCCATCCCTATTATATTTGTAAAAGTTGCTTGAGTCTAAAAAGAATCCTACCAAACTTAATAAGTGTAATTGTTACATGAGAAGTATTCTTGTATGAATATATTCTTTTTAATAGTCTGAGGTGATTATAAAGTAGTATTTGTTTAGAATTTTCTCAACTAATTGACAACACATACACACCCTGCAGATGCAACTACTCGAACTCATGACTTCTACGAAGAATAACATTCTCTTTATCACTGAGCTCACTTGACGAGTTCTCTTATAGGAATACTCGAATGAGAAGCAAAATTATATATATATATTAATTTAATTATGAGATATTAAATTTCTTAAGATTAAAAGTTGAAAATTTGATATTATAAACATAGTAAATTGAATTAAAATAGTCTCTTATAATAAATCCATCTAAATCTTAATGAAAAACAATCTCATCCCACTAAAACATGGTTTGATGATTGACACTTAATCCACAAAATCCAAATAATAATAATAATAATAATAATAATATAATAATAATAATAATAATAATAATAATAATAATAAAAACAAGTAATTAGAATCACATCTACTTTGTTACAAAGAGCTTATTTTCTTCATAAACCCAAGCTTCGATGTTAGGGATTGATAAAGAGAATGAAAGAATGTTATGAAACATCTATTTAAGAATAAATATTAATTAAATATTTTTTTTGGGTATTCATAAAAAATATAATTGGAAATTACAGATCAGATAATATATCATGTTGGTCTGAGCAGCTTTTCCAACCTCGCACGTTATTTTTGCCAACTAATGAGCTTCCCTCTTTAGCCAATCATCTTCAAGCTTTCACCTCTGCCAACTGTACCTATTCCACATCCAAATAAACTGTCTTTTTATTATCAGCTCTTTTTATTTCATTTTATTTCGACATGTTCTTATTCGATCTGATTCGGTCCGGATAAATTTTTTTTATACGAGTTGGGATTATCTCAACCCCCAGCACATGGTTTTCTAAAAGAACCTGTTGGCAAATAAATTCGACAAGTTCTGATTCGATATGATTCAATCATGATCGAGTTTTTTTAATTGGAGTTGGGACTCAATCCCAACTCCCCGCACATGGTATCCTGAAAGAGCCGGTTGGCGAGTGGACCCAAACCAACCCCCCACAGAACTCAAACAGGAGCTCACGTGACACCATGATTCATTTCATTACACCATATTATACATAATCATTAATATAATGCGAAGAAGGTGAGCATGTTAGCATGTGAGTGACCATCATGAAGTATCAATGTATTGTTTACCTGAATTAGGAGCGATAGTGGCGGCAGCAGTTGGGATGGTGGTGATGGCCCCGGCCGTTGTTGACGGGAAGATGTGGGTGGCGGATGCCGGCAACCCCATTGTTTGTGATTGATGGTAATGATAGAAGGGGTACATTGGCATCAATGTGTTTGCACCTACAATAGAATGCCCTGCTGGATACGCTTGAGAGAAATGTCCATTCATGTAGGATCCCCCATTGTAGCTTAGCTTCTATTGCATCATATACAAAAAGAAATTTTAGATTTTTTTTCGAAAATTATTTGATATCTAAACTTGATGTCATTGATAGATTATGTCTAAATTTAATTTCCCTCACACTCCTACTGAATGTGACAAAATGCGTAATAAAATCAAATTCAAGTACCAATATGTACTACAGAACCTATGTTCAAATATCAATTTGGACAAAGAAAATGTATAAGTATCGATTCGAATTATGTAACCAAAATCATGTATCTATTTAAACCCTAAAACAAACTTCGGGGACCTAATAGAGTATTTACCCTATTTTAAATGTATAAGGAAAATATAAACTGCAGAAAAACACTTACATGATTGTAGCTCATATCAGTGGTAATGTAGGTGGGGGAGTAACTGAAACAAGTGAGCAGAGACAATTATTAGATAGGGCAAAGTCTATCCTTTATACCATGAATACAAAATATAGGGTAAATTACATTAGAGTTCACTTAAATATGTTAAAAGTTTAATTTGGTCACTAAATTTTCAAAGATTATGAAATGATTGTTCAATTTTATCAAACTTTTACAATAATTATAATATTACATTCATCATTTAACAATTCGATAAATTTTAAAAACTAACTGACCAAAATAATCATTTAAAACATAGTTGAATGAGTTCTGATGTAATTTAACAAAAAAATGGAATATATACCCATAAAAAGGAACGGCCTGAGGATGCTGCCGATGATGAAAGGGTGACGCTGGTGTCCCAAGTGCAGGGTAATACCACTGCACGTGATTAGCAGGTGCAGCCGATGTGGCCCTCGGTCCAACGTTTGATCCTTCCATTTTCATTTGATCAAAACCCCAAAAATATTAGACCCCCCATGATGCTTATATTCACAAAAACGCCACCACCTACCATTTTTCCCTTAAAATAGAAAAAAAAACGTAAATAATACCTTGTTGTGGCGGAGGAGCAGTGGAGACGGACCTCGGGCGGCGAGCACCGAGGGAAGCGAGGTTGCAGTTGGCGCGGCGGCCGTTGATGATAGGATTGGGATCCTCACAAGCTTTTTTAGCAGCTTCAGCATCCTTAAAGGTAACCTAAAAGAAGCCCCCAAAAGCAAAGGGTATAAAAAGGAAATTTCCAGAAACGAATCAACTGAAACCGGATGCATTTAAGCGAGAGAGAAAAAAAAGAACTCACGAATCCATAACCCTTGGATCTGCCGGTGAGTTTATCGGAAATAATGACGGCTTCGAGGATCTCACCGTACTTCTCAAAATGCTCTTTCATGGCCTCTCTGGGAGTTTCCCAAGCTAAACCGCCGACGAAAACTTTGGTTAAAGTCGTGTCGCCGAATTGCCCAATATTGGTACTCATAGTCATTGCGTTTAACAGTACCAGCAGCAGCAACAAGCAAGCAAGAAAAAAATATGAAAATCCTGGCTGTTTACTGAGATCTAACAGAGGAAATTGCGAAGAACAAGGCGTTTGGGTTTGGGATGGAAAGAAAGGAGAGGAACCCAAGAAGGAAATAGGGAGGGAAACGGAGAATATAAGGAGGAAGAGAGGGAAAAGAAATAAAGAAACGAAGAAAAACAAAAAGGAGACAGATTGGCAAATACAGATAGACTTTGTGCTCATAACTACATTATCAACGTGATCACACATTTTATTAACTAATCTTTTCATAACCACTTAACCCTGGTTAATCAATTCGGGTTTAAAATCATTCGATTTTTTATTCAATCAATGAAAAAAATTATTAGATATATTAAATCTATTAAGAATGATTATTATCTATAGAGGTATTGGACTCGAAAAATTGTACTTATATGATATGTGTAGTCAATGATTTAAAAAAATTATGAACATATATTATGTTCTAATCATTTTAGACTATTTAAAATATTTAATAAAATCAAATTTAGAGTTTGAGATTTAAGTTTTCTTTTTTATTTCTAATAATGAATAAATATTTTATATAGTAAATAATCGATAGAAATATACATTTGAAAGTGTGGGCTGATTTTAGAAATTACGAATTCAAATCAATCAATTATCCTATGGTTATGATCGAGTTATTCAATTATAATTAATGTTAGAGTAATATGTCTGTAACAATTGATTAATTAAATTACATATGTTTAAAACATTTTGAAGGATGGTTCATCGACTGCTCCTGCATGCTTGAATGGCATTTTTGTTTCTGCTAGTGCTAATATGGTAAATAAGTCTTTCGGTTCTGGTAATGCTTTGATTTATGTTGTTGATGAGGCTTGTGTCAGTCTCCCGGTTGTTGCTCCAAATCCTGAAGGGGTTGTCCTGGGACCTCGTTTGTTAATGAGGTGTCAGTTGGGGTTTATATCGAAAGCTTGGTTGATAGTTCAGCACATGTTGAGATCTGTCCTGGGAATGTTGCGGGGATTGGCCAGGGTTCTAAACAATATGAACTCCCTATACAGGCTATTGATCCCCATGCAAAGAGAGGCAGGGGAAGGCCTGCTAAAGCTGATAAATCTGTGGGAGGTGGGTCTAAAAACACATTTGACGCCCTAAGCTCGATTGACCCTGACAGTTTGATTGGGATCCTTCCTGTTGACTCTGGAAAGAAACAGAGAGGGGATGCTTTGGGTGTTGCAAAGATTGTGCAAGAACTGAAACTAAAAAAGAAAGAACAGGTTGAAAAGGTTAAAAGAGCAGAGAAAAGGGTTGGTGCCTCATCCTTTACAATTTTATCATGCTAATATGCTTCTGGAATATAAGGGGGTTCAATAGTCCCCTAAAGCAAAGCATTGTGCTAAAATGGGCAAAAAGGCTTCACATTAATATTCTCTGTCTTCTGGAGACTAGAGTCAAGGATATGCTGCTGATATTTTGTCTAAGAAGTTTGAGGGCTGGAATTTCTGTTGTAATTACTCTCATGCTGAGAATGGTCGAATCAGGGTTTTATGGCAAAGAAATTTAGACTGTTCCATCTGTTATATTTTCGAGCAGTGTATCACCTTTAAAGGCACCTTCAATGGTTTACCTTTTTTCATTCGTAGTGTATGGTTCTAATGATGGCATAACCCGCAGGCAACTCTGGTCGCAACTTGGTAGTATAAATAGCTTTGTGGGTGATGCAGCCTGGTTGGTAGGGGTGATGTAGCCTGGTTGGTAGGGGCGATTTCAATGTCATTTTAAATGGAGGAAAGTTCTAATCCTATCAGCTCTATCACTAGCAGTGACATCATTGAGTTTAAGAAGTGTGTGTTGAGGACCTGGGAATCTTTGATCACCAATTTATTAGCCCATTTTACACATGGTCTAACAAGCAGCAAGACTCCTTCCTTGCCCACAAACTAGACCGTGTTATGGTTAATCATTGCTGGTCTGAGGCTTTTCCGTCCTCTGAAGTTGAGTTTCAAGCGCCTGGGGAGTCTTTTCACAGTCCAGCCTTAGTCTGGCTGCACAAGGAAGTTGCTGCAAAAAAAACCAAAGCCATTCAAGTTCTTTAATTTATGGGCTATGCACCCAGATTTTTTATCCATTGTTAGTGATTCGTGGCAGGCACCAGCTATTGGGAACCTAGCCCATGTTATGTTCTTAAAGCTAAAGTGGTTGAAGAGTTGTCTTAAGCTCTTAAATAGAGCTCACTTTCCTGATATTTCGGGGCGAGTTCTGTGTAAAAGGGATGAATTGAGGGTTATTCAGCTTGCCAATTTGGATGTTGTTACTGCTGGCAGCCTCATGATTGATGAACTTAAGATTGAGGAGAAGTTAGAGGTCTTGAACAGATGGAGCTTCTCTTCTATAAACAAAAAGCAAAGGCTGACTGGAATAGAGAATGTGATCAGGGCACTCAGTTTTTTCAGTCCATGGTGGCTAGCAAGAGGATGAACAACACCATTAGAGTCCTTTTTAATCAAGAAGGTGTTAGACTTAGAAACTTTGATGATATGTCCATTGGGGGTGATCGATCTTGAGGTCAATTGTTGCAATGTCACCACTGTAAAGGAGCTTCTGGGCCCATTCCCTTCCCGATGGTGCTTCTGAGGCTTTAATCAGAGAGATATCTGATGTTGAGATCAAAGATGCTTTATGGGACAAGGGAACAATAAATCCCTCGGTCCTGATGGATACAACTCATTCTTTTTTAAACGGACATGGCATATTGTGGGAAATGACTTCTTGGCAGCAATTAGATATTGCTTCACTAACTCATTCATGCTCCCTTCCTTCAATCCTACAACTGTTGTGCTTGTCCCAAAGGTTTCTAATCCTAGTATGGTCAAAGACTTTAGGCCTATTTTCTTGTTGTTCTATCATATATAAGACTGTTACTAGAATTCTAGTGAATCGACTGTCTGTTGTCTTTCCTAGCATGATTTCAATGAACCAATCTGCTTTTGTGAAAGGGAGAAGCATAATTGATAATACCCTACTTGCTCAAGAACTTGTTCGGGGTTATTCTAGGAAGAAAATTTCTCCAATATGTGCTCTCAAAATTGATTTGCAGAAGGCTTTCAATTACTTAAACTGGGATTTTGTGAGAATTGTTTTACATGCTCTAGGATTACCTGAGAAATTCATAGGCTGGATTTTGGCTTGTATTACTAATCCAGGCTACTCCATTGTTTTCAATGGTACTATTGTTGGCTATTTCAAAGGGGCTCGGGGTGTTAGACAAGGTGATCCCCTCTCTCCTTATATTTTCGTCTTAGCCATGAACGTTTTATCGAGCCTCCTTAATGTAGCTGCTAAGAAGGGAGTGTTCAGCTATCATCCTAAGTGCAAAAAAGGTTGGGCCCACTCACCTTTGCTTCGCTGATGATTTGCTAATATTCTGCAAAGGCTCTCTGGACTCTGTAATTGGTGTACAAATTGTTCTTGACTCTTTCTACTCCATGTCTGGACTAAAACTAAATGCTAGTAAGTGTGAAATCTTTTATGCTGGGATTTCTGCTGAACAATGTGCTGCCATTAAGGAGTTAACATGTTTCAAACTGGGTAATCTCTCTGTTCGTTACCTGGGTGTTCCTCTGGTAACTAGGAAACTCACTGTTTAAGGACTGCCAAAGCTTAATTGACAAGATAAGGGCAAAGTTGAATTTGTGGGCCAACAAACACGTTAGCTTTGCAGAGAGGCTTCAATTGATCCGTGTTGTTCTCTTCAACATGGCAAATTTCTAGTGCATGCAGCTCGTTCTTCCTAAAGAGATAATTAACTCTATTGAGCAGCTATGTTCCATATTCTTTTGGAAAGGGTCCGACTTACCTGCAAGAGGCGCTCGTGTCAGCTGGAAAAAGGTCTGTACTACATTGAAGTCAGAAGGTGACCTAGGTGTCCAAGATGTAGGCGAATGGAATAAATCATGCACTGTTCGCCTTATCAAAAAATTATTAGACAGTGAGGGCTCTCTCTGGGTGGCCTGGATGTGTGCCTATATGGTCGGGGATGCAAACATCTGGCAGATGAGAATTCCTTCAAATGTAAGCTGGTCATTCAAGTACATCTTGAAAATCAGACCTACTGTTATTCATCTCTTTGCTGGCCTAATCCAGAACCGAAGTGTTAAAAGTATTCGGGATGACTTGCATATCAATATCCCCAAAGTCTCTTGGCAGCATCTTATTTGGTTTCCTGGGTGTATCCCTAAGCACAACATTATAGTATGGATGGCCATTCTTAATCGTCTCCCCTACTCGTGTTAGGCTCCTTAGTATGGGCTTAAATATCGAGAATGATAAATGTCTAATGTGTGGTATTGTGGCTGAGTGCAGAGACCACCTGTTCTTTGGCTATAATTTTGCTAAAGACTTATGGGGAGCTACTCTTACTTTATGTGGTCTGTATAGAGGCGTTAGAGGCTGGGATAGTGAACTGGCTTGGGCAATCTGTTACCTTAAGGGCAAGTCCCTTATTGTGAGAATTCTTCGACTTGCTTGGGCAGGCCATGTCTATTGCATTTGGAGGGAAAGGAATTGCAGGCTCTATGGGGGTTGTGCTCGCCCAATGGATGCGTTACTGCAGGATATCAAAGTTGTCATTCGGATTCAGTTGATGGGATGCAATATTAGCAGTTCCGACCCACATAATACAGCTCTTTGTACTAGTTGGGGTATCACTTAGTGGGAGTTCGGTTATTCTGCTACTCTTACTGTGTTTGCAATTTTGTCTCTTTTGGTTGCTGATTATGTATCCGTGTTTATTGTATTATGTAAACTGTAGCAATTCTCTTTTTCTTGGGTAATGAAATGGAATTATCCAAAAAAATAATTTAATGACCTATAATATAATTTACCCAACAACTAAAGAGAGTAAGATACAACTAAAAGTTGGAGAACAAAACGGGAAGGGACCACAAAGTTAAATGAATTTTGAGGTACACAATTATCTTATTGTTATAATCAGATTATCTCGTTATATCTAAAAAATTCACATCTGACAACGTAGTATGTTTGTAATAATCAATTAATTGAGTGATCTATTCTTATCTTTTTAAAATTCAGTGATTCATTTATAGTCTTAATAATAATTGAGTGACGTATAATATGATTTACCCAACAACTAAATAAGGTTAGAGACAACTAAAACTCGGAGAACAAAACGAGAAGGGACTCGTAAAGTTAACTGAATTTTGAGGTTTGTAATTATCTTATTGTTACAATCAGATTAATTATATGACCAATTTCTATATTTTTAAAGTTAAATGACTCGTTTATAATCCTACTAATAACCGACTGACCTAGAATATAATTTACCCAACAACTAAAGAGGGTAAGAGAGCTAAAACCCGGGGAACAAAACGGGAAGAGACCCACAAAGTTAACTGAATTTTGACTTTGAGGTACGCAACGTGAAGTCCCAAGGAAATGTCCCCGCCTCGCTATTTTATCTAATTTGCATGCACGTCTATACATATATATATATATATATATATATATATATGTATATATATATTTTTTATTTATTAATTTAGTTGATTACAAGATAATGTATATTCGAAAAACTTCTAATCATTTAACAAAAAATAGTTAGATTCCTTTACAGATATCGTGTTCAAATGTGAGACCTTTAAAGATAACAAGCATTCATTTAATTATTGAGTTTGCTTAATTCATGTCACATCTACACATATAAATTAATTAATTGTCATCCAAAAAATATATTTTTTCACTAAAATTAAATTAAAATATCTTACACGTATTTTTTAAAGAAAATCCTATATTTTGTCGGAATAAATTAAAATTAATTTCTAAAAATATTTTATAAATAAATGACATTTTAGTCTTTCTCAATGAAATCTATATGTATTTTATAATGAATAGTGAAATTTAATAGTCGTATTAATATGATGACAATATTTAGCTCTAATGATAAGTGTCACTTAAAATTTTTATTTTCTCAAAAGATGTGTATGATAATATGCGTAACGTCATTGTTTTAAAATTTTATGATCTTTCATATATATATTTTTATTTTGGGATTAATATAATTTATTATTTTTATAAATATTTCGTGTTCCTTTTAGAGTGTAGGACGTAACATCCATCATCTAATCTTGTAATACACTTATCGTGAATTCATATTTATTATCGATCCATCATATTTATCTTATTTATTGGAATGTTCGACGTCGAACAATCAAGAATATATTTTCATTTGTCACGTACATTTATCATTTTTTTTAAAGAATATATGCTAGCTAGCTGACCCTATTCCCATATGTAATGGAATAAGAGGGAGGTAGGGTAATAGGCCACCCCCAACGACAGGTTGAGAACAGTTTCCGTGGAAGACCTCCGTTATTCATTTTTAAATTCTAAAACCTTTTTATTCTTTTTAATGTAAGATTAATGAGTTCCATTACTCTAATGAACAATACATCTCCCTCTTTAAAATACATGACATAAGAAGTTCAGATAATATTTTTATTTATTTTAATAAAAAAGAAGAAGTGGTCAAAGTCAAAGAGAAATGAGATTCTCGTCCAACATCGATGCAGATGGTCACATGGAAACCCACGTCTTCTCTAGTATTGGTGTGAGTCTCACTTTCCAATTAGACTCATAAAATGCTTAACCACTCCTTAATCCCTTACCTTAGCTGTCATTTACTCATTTACATATGCAAACTAATTATAAAGTTACATGCATTGTATGTGATATTATCTATTTAAATAAACTACATGTTTAGTATCTAAACTATTATTTTTGCCCTTTTTTAGTACTTAAACTTTTATTTTTTTCATCAAACCTAACTTTTAATTTAATCACTGAAGTTTAAATTCTTTTAATTTAATTACTTAAATTTCAAATTACTCCTAATTTAATCACTTTAGATTTTAAATTTAATTTTTTATTTTAATTATATATTAATAAAATAAAATAAATTTCATGTCACAAAGTTTATATACCAAAACAGAACAAAAGTAATAGTTTAGGTACTAAACTTGTAGTTTACCCTATCTATTATTTACTTTATATTTTAAAATTATAATGTTATTTAAACTCATCAAGTGATCTCAGTGGCAAAAGAGAATGTTGTTCTCTTTAAAAGTCTTGGATTCTAGCAGTTACGTCTATAGAGTGTGCGTGCAATTATACATTGTCAATAAAATAATAAAATTTTGATCATATGCTATCTTGTAATCGCCTCCTACTAATAAAAAAATCATAATATTATTTTGACATGATATTTACTTACTAAATTTTTCCTTTATTTTTTTCTTCTCTTCCTCTTCTAATTTTTCTGTGTCTTCTCTCTAAAAGGCGATCAGTTACCATCGTTATCATCGCTAGCCGTTTATCATCGATGATAACCGAATGTTACCAAATTTCATTAGTTGACTCGTCTTGATATCTTGAGTCTGATTTTTTTCAAAAATCGCTTAAAATGATATATAAAATATGAAAGGTTCGATTTTTTTTTGTTGATTTCTTTATTTTTCAAGTTTTTTTTTTTATTTTTTTTTTTTTTTAGGTTGTTTTTAGGTCTAGAGGTTTAGGTCTCTAAAAAAAATCAAAAATAAAATTTTAAAAATTGAGCTTTTATTTGTGTTAGATCGAATTCAGAATGAGATTTTATTTAAAATTCGAAACGAATGAAATATCATCAATTATCAAGACGAGAAAGAATCGATTGAATACATTTAACTTTCAAATCAAAATCGAGACGATCATATATGCCGACTCCTAATCCTACTCTGTTACCGTCCCTAATCCATGCATCTACAGCATTTTCCTATCATCAACTCCCATTATGGACAGAGATACGAAAAGGAAGAAGAAATGAACGAGCAAATTAAGGAGTTAGATATGAAAGGTGAATGTAGGTTTCTTTTTTTGAAGATTGGGGTTGGGGGAATCTTTCATGACCAAAAGTAATTGGTTGCAACACTTTCTTGCAATTGGAAATTTCATTGTCCTTTCTATGTTTCTTCTACAAATCCATGTGATACAAAAATGGTGTCCCCCATGTGTTTTTGTCTTTAAACCTAAATTACCGCCTCATTTACTTGTTATAAAACTATCTACTTTGCAACATTGTACTAAAATTGAATGGGAACAAGTTTTTGGATTATCCGAAAATTCAACCTTTTTGAAGAAAAAGATCTGGATTTTGAGATATACTTTTACAACTTGAGCTGATACTCTATTTTTTTAACATTTATTTTTAAAATTTAAAAAGTAAACTACAAGAATCATAACTTTCGTTTCAGTTGTGTATAATTTTTTAACGATTTTAAAAATATATATTTTAATCACTTACGTTATCAATTTACCATATTTTGCTAAACCGTAACCCACACCCCTCACCGCCCAACATTCAATTTAACTCAACTTATCAACGACCGAAACTTGAAAAACCAATAAAAAAAATTAGACATTTTACAACAAAATCATCAATAGAAAATTAAATAAAAAAGAAGGAAATAACTAAAAAGAAAGAAGGAAATTAAAAGAAGAAAGAAGAAAACTACTCATTTCAATTGTGGGTAGAATGAATTGAGTTTATGAATAATCTAAAATATATAAAAATATTATTAGAATTGATTTTTTCTCCAATTAAAGTAGAAAAAATAACATTACTCTTTAAATCATAACTACAATTTAAAAAAAAATTGAATTTTTTTGAATTTTTTTAAAAAATGAACAATTTGAGTGGTCTACTTCAAATTTTTGAAAATTTTACAAGTCTAAACAATGTTTTTTTTTAAATGAGACTTAATGAGAACTTTAAAAGAAAATTAAAAGAGGACTTAATTAAAAATATTCAAAAAAAAATTAAAAGCTAATGAGAACTTTTAAAAACTTTGAGGGGTCAAATTAGTTTTTTAATCTAAAATTAATATATTTAATAATTTATCGGGTAAAGTACACAAATGGTCCCTCAACTATAGGGTGTTGCTTTGTTGAGTCCCTCAACTATTAAAGTTACAAAATGGTCCTCCAACTATAGGGCATTGTTTTATTGAGTCCTCGGAAATTAAAAGTTACAAAATTATCATTCGACTATTCATATTTTCCAAACTCGTCATTTTCGTTAAAAAAATGATGATAGTCTAACTGAGATATTTTAAAATATGATCACAAAATCTCAAACAATTATCATATCTCATGCATCAGGTTAACGTCCAGCTTAGACTAACGTCAATTTTTTAACGAAAAATGATGAATCTGGAACATATGAATAATCAGATGACTATTTTGTAATTTTTAATTGTTGGGGGAGTCAACAAAGTAGTTGAGGGACCATTTGTGTACTTTACCCTAATTTATATTAGTGTAAAACAAATACGAAACATATACTCACATACATATAAATTTTCTAATCCAAAGAAGAATGGCAGACCACGTGAGGAGTGCACAGGTACATATCATTCAAATATCTCATCCCTCTTTATCTTTGCATTACACAAGAAACGTGGCCAACTGTATTGCAGAAACCAAATCCCATTGTGTTCCTCTATTTGGTAAATACAATTTTATCAAACATAATAATAAATATTGTTTTTAAAATTATTATTCAACCACGGTGACAAATATTTTATAAACGAGAGATTTTAATGTTATTATTTTATTTAAGATTTAGTGATATAAATTTTAGAGCTTTAGGTTTATCTATCA